AAGAGGTTCTTTTCAGCAGCTTCAGAGACTTCATAATGCAACCCCTCTTCTGGCGAGAGTTGCGTTTGAGGCAGCGGCCATTGAAGACATGGCATTGTGACTTATTTTGCAATAGATCCTGTCTCATGTCGGAATTCCTGGCAAGGAACGGGCTGACCTGCTAGCTGCTAAGGCACATAACGATCCAGTTCCAACATTCTTGCTGAAATGCTTAAACGAGGATCATCGATTCGCCCATGAGATCCTTACAAAACGGCATCCACATCCTGGGTTCGCACTCAGGTGGGCCAACCCCCGTTGTCCCCCGCAAGCTCCCTAAGGCTGAGGCAAGCTTTCTGCAGAGGCTTCAGGCTGGTTGCCCGTACACTGCCATGCGGCTCCACATGATGCGTCGCAAAGCGGATTCTAACTGCCCACCTGCGGCGACCCAGAGGACACAGAACATGCCCTTCTGGTTTGTTCCACAAATCAAGAAGCCAGGAGAACTCTTTTTGCATCTCTACATACAATCTGGTCTGCCATATAGAACTGTTACGGAACTTTTGAACCCTGGAGGAACCAGAGGTACAAAGGAGAAAGCCTTCTGGGCTCTTCTGCGCTTTCTTAGTGGCACAGAGATAACGGAGGGACTGTTATTTTTCTTTTTGTATTTAATTTTTATATTTCCTCTTTATATCCTTTTCCCCAACAACCACGTAGCGACTTGCCCATTGGGGCCCACACATATTCTGGTTTCCCCCTTCCCCCGAAAGGTCATAATAAACAAACATACAACAACTGAGACCACAGCCAATGTCGAAAGCACGAGAGCTTGATGTCGTTACCTTGAAGCATTCTTCCGGAAACCGAGCACTCGCGCTTGAAATGAACGTCTCAAGGCCAGGAGCGCGGCCTAGCTCGCTCTTGTAGGTTTGGCTGCAGTCGTAGCCTAAGGGTGAACACAGTATAGGAGGTATTCACTGGACGCCATATTTGAGGGCGATGTTTAGAGCGCATGCTCAGAACGAGCTCACATTAATAGCCTGCTAAGACCGGCAACTTGATGGTGCTATATACACGCTCCGAAAGGACTGCGGAATCTCGCCGTCAGCACGCGCTCAGCAGCAGCGCACACGGATATGGCCGCCAGTGAATACTCCCTATAGTGCACAATGCTGTCAAAGTTGCTGGCGCGAGTATGCGGTTTGATCTTGCAGACCGTTTGCACGCGTTCTCGCGCAAACGAATCCATAAATGAAACCGCACGCTCGCGCCAGTAACTTGCGTGCCAATAACATTGACAGCGTTATATACTATGCATGAAACGGGGTGTAGATAACAACGTACTATATATATACTAAAATTCACCTCAAGAACCTAAGTAAAACAGTTGGGCTTCTGAAGAAGCATTACTGATTTAATCATCTCTACAGTGAATGAAGATATATGTGTGTGAACTTTAGGTGGACTTCCGAGTGTTCAAGAGGTGTACTCGTTTCAAACACCCAAAAGCTTCGCTTCTTTTTTCGACAATCCACAACTCTTGAAAGAAGCACTTCACGTAGCGCACGAGTAATGCGCAAAACTTCCTTTCACTAAAAACCCATTAATGCAGTACCGTTTCACTTTTACTATTCTTTTTTTCGGACTGGGCCACCCGTACTTCGCGTGAAGCTTAATGACGAATTTAAAGTGAAGCTTGGCACGAAGCATGCGCAGCACATTAGTGCCGGAAGTTCGATGACGAATCACTTGAGTCGTCTTTCAAATTTTACTCGGTCTCGCTCATGTGTAAATGTCCTTTATGTACATTGACGCTCGAAACCCAACTGGCGTCCTGCGTCGCTCTATTTTTGTTAACCGGTGATATGACCCGCAGGAGAAGTCTAGATCTACTGGACTAAGCATTTAAATGCGATCGACGTAAAATAGTAAAACGCTGCTTTAAAGCCGATGTGTCGGACTTTCTTTAGGTCACTTACCTTTGTTGACTCCTAGGCACAGATTGGACACCAGTGCTGCATCAGAGTTTGGCTTGGACTGGTGTTCAATAAGTGGGAACACGAGTTCAACGTCAGCGTGCATCTGGGAGTCGCGCTTAATATATGGCGACACAAGTTCAATTCAAAGGCTGACACAGAACGCGTGTGTCGGTCTTCCGTAACAGGAGTGCGGAACTGGAAACTGCTAGATGTCAACGTATAACACATTCAGAGTTATATCCAAAGAGGATGCAAGGTTTACTTGTAGACTCGAACAGGCGAAGGCATGGCATATAATAACCAGTGCGCGTAACACTTAGACACAAACAAGTTCACACTGGCGGCAAATGTTTCGCTTGACAATTTGGTGACGTACGTAAAAATGCGTCAAAGACGACTGCAAAAAGAGTACCGTCCTGTGGGCACATCTGTGTTATTCACACATCAAACTGAAGCTCACGCAGTCGACTTGGGCTGCAGGCAGAAAGAGTCTTGTCTTTGTACTGCTTAGATGGGAACCTTTGGCCTGCGTCAGTACAGTGAAGCGAATGATAAGGAAGAGAACGTGCAGCGTTGATTGGTGAACCCTTCCTGTGTAGCGCGGCAGAAAGGGGTTAGTAGCGGAAGGCAGTCGTCTAGCCTTCGTTGCTCTGCACATTGAAACTCTATATTAGATTGAAGCACATGTGAGATAAATATTCTATACCGAAAGATTATTGGCTAAGAAATAACCCAGCTGTATACTCACGAATTTGCACCTACCTTCAGTTTAGCGCACTAAAGCGGACAGTGAAGGGTCCTTGAAGATGATGTTGCAATTAACCCGCAAGTTGCAATTAACTCTCTTTTTAGCTCAATGTTGTCTTAATCTTCCTTCACTCTGCCATCCTCTGAGTTTGTTAGGAGAGGAAGGCACAAGTAATGTCGATTTCGCTTCCAATTAAAATAAAGTTGCTGCATCTTAAAACAAATGTTTTGGCGATAGGAAGCAGAAACTCCACCACACACTTGCGCCAACTCAAAGGTTCATTCAGTATGTCTGGCTGCAATAAAGAAAAAAATATATGCATGTTGTTTCTTAGTGCGTTGTGCAGCTTCCTCGTACACCTTCGGAAAGAAGACAAGTCATATATTTGTATACGCCCTGTGCCTTGGGGGATCGATAGTTTATCGCGTATAACCATATGCTTGGGAGAAGAGCGTGTTGGTTCAAGTGGCGATTGAAGAAAGAATAAAACAATTCAAACTGGGACAACACAACAACATCTCTAAACTAGCAACAGATGAGCCTTACGCAAAACAACGTTACACCAGCTTCAGGATGAGGTTTTCTAGGGACAATTCGTAAGTATTGCACGTTTACTCAAAGCACAACTCGACGATAACTTTTGAGTGTCAAGACAATGAGTTGACCGTTTCGTGGAGGCAGCGAGCGAAGTATAGCAGTCACATGGCATGACATATAAATGTAGCGCATACAGAGCGGGATGCAGTTTGCATGAACTTGGTTTATCTTTTTCAGTGTGTCGAACCGAAAAAAATACGGGTTCGGTTACGGTTCAGGTTCAGGTAAATTTATTTGGCTCCGGTTCAGTTCCGGTTCGATTAATTCAATCCGCGAACCGATTAGCGAACCGGTTCGGGGCGCTGAACCGGTTCGCGAACCGGTTCGGAAATTATAAATGACAAATTGCAACATCAAAATAAATTACAAATAAAACATCTGAAATCAGCACATACGAAACGGGATACATCGTAGTGTAAGGCTCAGGGATTTCTACCAGGAATGGTTTCTTTATGTGCACTCAAAGGTTACCTCACCGACGTTTACGCATTCGGACTTCATCTAATTGGGTCCGACGCAGTAGATGTAAAATCCGCGACCTCCTTACAAACCCACTTACAAGTAGAACTCGATAACTATTCCGCCACCTCGGCGTGTAGGCAATTGAAGGAACAGTGGGGAGAAAATACAGCTTTCTTTATTTGAACTAGCCTTCAGTAACTCAAATTAGACCCTTAAAGAAGTTTTCATTAAACAAGATGCGGAATATGAAAAACACTTCACCGAACGCGACGCCAGAAGGACGTAATAGGATAAATATTAAAATAGAAGAGTTCGCTGTCTCACAAATATGTTAGCTTCTAAGTGCCTATACGAAACCGGATGCATTATTATCAAACTCCACAACCTTTTATTTTCTCAATCCGATGGAAGCAAGCTTCAAGAACTCGCGCGTTCTAGAAACGTGTTATGAAATGAGCACACAGCAGCATTTAGGATTTACGAGATTGTAGGAAAATGACAGCCTTCCAATTTTGGAAGGCTGTCATTTGCCTTCCAATTCTCTTTCTTCCGTGCAAGCCGCGACCAGCGCAATACTGGTTCCTATGTCAAGATTCATGGATGCAGCGTTTGTCAAGATTCATGGATGCAGCGTTTATATTCCTAAGACTGAGTGGAGAAGAAAAATATGTAAGCGAGTTGTGTGTGTCAGTTGACGGCACTTAAAAAACAAATGGCATTGATAGCACATTCATTGTCAACAGCGCGTGGCCGAACCGTTTTGGCATGAGCCGGTAACCGTTATTTTTTTTCCGGTTCAGTTCCGGTTCGGGTTCATCGCGATAACAATATAACGGTTCGGGTTCGGGTTCAGTTCCAGAAAAAATACCGGTTCGGTTCCGGTTTTCGGTTCGGTTCGGTTCCGGTTCGACACCCTGGTCTTTTTCTATGTTCTACATAATCAAAATCAAGGCTATAATAACGTGCCATACAGTACACTCTTTCTGGGAAGCAACCGCATCGGTAAATCTCGGGACCCCGAGTACGTACTTTTAAAAACTAAAAAAACGATAAAAAGTGTATAATTGTCACGTTCACACTAAATGTGTTGCGCTCACGTCGTGTAAGCCCACTAGATAATATGTTTAAGTGCGCTTGACTGTTGTTTCAAACGATACAAAGATTGCATATTTTAGTGAATCTTAAGCGTGTGCTGAATGGGCGATTTAATAATACAATTGCATTTGTTGCAGGCGGTGACCCGTCGGATCTGGGCGACATCGACGGGATCAGTCATCTAGATTCACTAAGTCGCCGGTCGGAGACGCCGAGGAAGGAGCTTCTCATCAACATAGATCCGATCGAAAATGTCTCCGCTATCATTGAGGGTCATTTCAAACTTGTGAGCGGTGTCGTCAGAGGAGGCGTGCTAGACGAGTGGTTCCAGGTTCCAGGGAACATCACATGGGACTACAACAAAGCTCGCCAAGAGTGCGAAACATCCCTTGTGGCTCGGGTGTTGAGGAACGCCGGTCACGATGTCGCCTGTGGGTCCGGGAACGGTTCCTACCCGACGCCGATTAAATGTGGCAAGAGAGATCCGAGCAAACCGTGCGTACCAACTGTGGCGCCTTGTCTGTTCGACCTGTCCAAGGACCCCTGCGAATATAACAACATTGCAGAGCAACACAACGAGGTACGTCTGAAGACAGAAATAAAAATGAAAGGCGTTTCCAATCCCCTGTAAAGCCGAATTGGAGCGCAGCTCTTGAGGAGGAGGAGCGGAAGGCCCGGAGAGGATTGTATGCCCTTCTCCTCGACCGAACGCTTTCCTTATCCTCTCCTGCCCCCCTCCCATTTAGCGGGAAATGTTTGCCGAATTCCCCGCTACATTTCGCGGGAATTTTTGCTAAAAGTAGCGGGGAAATTTTTCCGCTCAGTTTAGCGGGAAATCTTTCCGCTAAATGTAGCGGGGACTTTTTCCGCTAAATATAGGGAGAAAAATTTTCCGCTAAGTTTAGCGGAAAAGTTTTTCCTCTAAATCTAGCGGGAAATTTTTCCCTCTATATTTAGGGGGCAGTTCTTTCTGCTAAATTTTGCGGGAAATTTTTTTCCGGTAAATTTACAGGGGAAATTTTTCCGCTAAATGTACCGGGGACTTTTTTCCGCTATATCTAGCGGGGAAGTTTTTCTGCTAAATTTAGCGGAGCATTTTTTCGCGAAATCTAGCGGGGAAATTTACCCATAATGCAATGCATGGTGACGTCACTCGTGACGTCACGTCTGACGTCCTTAAGAAACGTCCCATAATGCAATGCGCGATCACGCCAATGCCGACGCCGCTCAAGCCAGAAATGGGCGCCTAAGAGCTGGGCTCCAAGAAAAGGCTGATTTCTCATTATTAGTACAGTGAAATGACGAGTGCTACATGAGAAGGAAAACAGTAAAACGCATTCACACTGAAATAAAATTTAAACAATGCAAGGAACCGTTCTCAATATTTGACCCCTGTAGGCTTAAGATCAAGCGCGTAGGTCTTGTATAATTGACCATATTACGGACTACAGCGATTCTTGAGAGTAGACGCGTTTGCGGCGACCAACAAACACTTCTTCAAAAACAACTATAAAAAAAAATTAAAAAAAGCGGCGCAATGCGAACTGGTCTTCGGAACAACAGAAGATGCTGTCACAGCTCGCAACAAAATGATTTAATGTTACTTCTCCAGCGTGGCAATGAGACGCTGCATATCAGGTCAGCTGGCCCCCCGTTGTTGAAGCCACCATAACAACACTAAGAGTTTAAGAATCGCAAAAGCTTGGCCAGCCCCGATTATCCTATTATTGCAATGATGAAAATGCTGTGCTCGCAGATAAGAGTAGCGATGGAAGAATGGCGAAGCAAGAAGCGTCAGCGTGACACGCCACACCCTGCGCTCCTGTCTTTAACTGTATTTTGGCCGCTGCTCGTCAGTTTCAACGACCGCCACCCCATGGCGCTACGTGTCCGCCAGCGCGGTGGTAACACGAAGCGTCCATGGCAACGTTACTAAAACACTCAGTTGGGAAACTCCCATAGAGGCAGCTTTGAAAGAGTGGCCCCATTCTGTCTCTGATCACCGAGCTAATGACGAACACAACGCCACCATTTCTCCCGCAGCGGCCACTCGAGGAACTGCACGTGACTTCTATTTTGGCTTTAAGAACAGATACAGCGGTAGAGGTTACAGGAATGCCACCCTTGTCTCCCCGGCGGACGCGCAGCGTTCAACTACCGAAGTTAAAATGCACCTAGGGCGGGACGCGCTACCTGAAAGGCCCGCTGAGGCATGGTTGTATAAAAACAATACTAATTGTGCCGCAAAACCCTGCAAACTAAAGATTTTAAAAACATAAAAACATAACGCGCCCCTCTTTTTGTACTAAACTCCAACAAATTTCATACAAAAAGAGTCATTTTTGTTTGTTTTTACGCGAAAACAGGCTTTCAAAAAGCTCAAGGTGACCACAGTACAGACAAATGATAAAGAGTGGCGCTGTGGTCGCATTTAGCTCGGTCTCGGTGGACGCCAGCGGCCCAGGTTTCGACGGCGAGTTTCCCAACTGAGTGTTTTAGTAACGTTGGTCCATGGTGAGAGCGGGAGGAGAGGGCTCGTTCTGCCGTCGACGCAAATACGCCGCAGACGAAATAAGAGAGCGGAAGAGTGACGTGCATGCTTTCGCATTCACAACTCATAAGAACTGCTTAGGTGTACCTCAAGCCTTTTTTTCTTAAGGCTTTACAGATTTGTTTAGAAGAAACCGTTAAAGCTACACTGATGTGGTTTGTGCAGGTGAACTACGCACCCAGGGGGAAATAGCATAACGAAATATTTGTCGCGTTAACGCGGTTCATTAGCTAAAGTTTGGTAACGAAATTTTAAATGATTGAATATAAAGGTTTGGTCAACATAAGAAACTTCCTGAGCATCATCGAAAACCACTAAGTATATCTTAGAAAGATTTGGAGCGCGTGGGAAGCTCGGTGGAGCGCCAAAGTTACCAATCGTGTAACAGGTGGAAAGAGTGGAGCGAAAAATACGACCGCGCGATTTTTCTTTCTTTTATCATCCTTAGCGTGTTCGTACTTCCAGCATTGCACCCGCTGCATGAGCGGTAACTTTAGAGCACCACCGCGCTTCTCATGCGCCTTATATATTTTTTTAAATATGGCTTATTTCGTGGTTTCAGATGACGCTCAAAAATTTTATAATTGAAACCATGTGTTTATTTTCTCTGTATTAAAAGTGAATTTAGAACTTTTAATTAATTAGTTAACTTATCGTGACAATTTGCCCCTAATATTATGTCACTCTCGCAATAAGGTGCACCTGCTTAGACCGCGTTACTGTAGCTTTCATTATATTTAAAAATATATTTAAAGCCTTAATTAAACAACATGTAAAGAACAAAGTACACTTTACGAAATGTCTCCGCGTCTACTTACCTGCCAAGCGCTCCAAGAGCCAATCTCTGCGATCTACGAAATCAGCTCAGTGAATGAGAAGGCGGAACATCTGTTTGGACCTCAAAATTAAGTCTTCGCTGTGGCATTACGCAATGCAAGCATGACGCTTTGCATTGCGTAAAACCACAGAGAGCTGTAGTTTGTTGTCTACCAGGCGCTTATATTATGTACAGTACTTATGCTATTTTGTTGACGTTTTGCTAGCACTCATAAGAAGAATGTTACCAAATACATAATCGTCCTTAAATTCTCCGAAAAATCGCGACGGTCACCGACCTATGTTCCAATATAAAATAAAGTACCCCTCGTGCGACTTCTTCGCAGATCTCGCGGAAAGAGGATTGATATGATATTCAATCAACAATGTGGCAATGCTAAGTTAGCATTAATTGACGCCGAGACAAGACTAAGTAACACATGGGCGGCATTTTGTGCCTATATGTGCATGTCCTGCTTTTCCTTGCAACGCGCTGATTTGTGTTAACATGGCAGCGCTGTTTAGTGAATGTTATGCGAAACTAAAATTAGTTCCTACTAGTTAAAGAAACGCTGAACGTCAATGATAATGTTTGAAGTCACTGATCTTGGGAAAGCAGTACCATTGCGTTCCCTGTCTGCCAGCCGGACACAAAGAAACACCAACATACAGGCGACAAACCTCGCAAGCTGATTGGCTGATCGGTCTCGGTTGCCATGACGGTAACAAGTTTGGGCCATTCAAAGCTTCGGAGCTTACAAAGGGTCCTTCCACCAGTCGCACCAAGGTCGCTATGAAGCATCATTGTTCTAAAGCGTTCCTCGCCAGTATAAAGCGTCATTAGCACTGTGCATGGAATACACTTATCATTTGTGCTTATCTCCCCAGGTCACTTACCTCTTGCAATAATATTGCTCTTTTTGCGTATTTTAGGAAAGGGAAATCACTTATCATTGCTTCCAAGCACAGACGCCACATGTGATGGCGTCGTCGGTGCTTGAAGGCATTGTAAATAATCGAGACCGATGAGCTAATAACATTGCGAAGTTTGGCGTCCGTATGTTGGTATTTGTTTGTGTCCGACCAGCAGGCAGGGATGGCGATGGCGCTCTTTCCTAGGATCCAGTGAGTGGGGGATTCGTTCCTCGGCGTTCTTATCTGCTAGTGCCGCAACCTCAACGACTCCGGAGCGACGATGAGATTACTCCCCCCTCCTGGCCTTTCTTAAGTTGGCAGTGCTCTTTCATTTTTCGTCTTATAGTTCTCTAGGCCGTTTTTGTGGATGATAATAATTTTCTTGCTTCGGAATGGACTATGGTCACTGAGTGACCATAGTCCATTCGGAAAAGACTAAATTAGTGTCATCTACAAAATAGGCCTACAGAACTACGAGACAAATAATAAAATAGATTCGCAATGACATTTCAGGCTGCGCAGTGGCGAAGATAATTACATTTCAAGGAGAGGAAATGAGGGAGCGAGTTATTTTGGCAACTGGATAATCTCAACCTGGCAAAAGAATAAGAAATAAAGTAGCGGACAAGACCAGACTTGTCTTTTATTCGTTACTTTATTTCTTCTTGTATAAGGGTGTAGATTATGACGTAACAGATACGACGTTTCGCCTGCTCACTTTCAATGTTCGAATATTGATTTTAAGTGATACAACAGTTTTTAGACTTTGTCAATCACAGGGTGCGCTCTGCAGATCGTAGTGATCGACCTTTTGCATGCTCTGCGAAGAAATCGAAACTGGATCGCTTCCCGTTTAGAGTTTAGAATCTACAAAACTACAAGGCGTAACACAGCGAGCTCTTAGGCCACACATTAACGACATGTTGAGGAAGAACCGGCATCCTCTAATAAAGGAAGTCATAAAAATATATTTCTTCGCAGGTGCTGCAGAGGCTTCTAGGGAAACTAGAAGGATACCGGAAAACATCAGTGCCCCCTGGGAATTTACCTTCAGATGAACAAGCCGACGCGGCACTGCACAACAATGTGTGGTCTTCATGGGGCGACGTTCCTACGTGGCAGTACGAAAAACTATAAAAAGTATGCTTATAATTTAATTTTCTAATATTTTCCAGAAAAAAACAAAAAGAATGACTTTCTTCTTGAGTTTTTGCTTAATGTTAAAAGACGAGTGTGGCACTAAAAAAAAAAAGAAGAAAAACAACAAAGCAACAAAACTGTTGGCAGAATTAAACTTTTATCTACAACACCATCAACCTTGAGTAAAAAAAATATAACACGGTGTTAAATCCCATGTTTTCTGGCCAATAAAAAGAAAATTCCGCGTTTCGGACCGAGGCTTTCTTTCTGCATTCCGGGAAGGTTCTTTTTTTTTTTTTTCATATTTACAAGATTACACCGGGGAGTCCGTCAGTATGGATTTGGGAGCGGAGAGAGATGGACTTCCCGGCAACGCCTTGACTCTACTAAGCACGCTCCGTCAACAATTGGGACAATATCCAGACATTTATTACTTTGTGACCTCTTGTAATCAAAAGTATTAATTTTGATTTTATTAAATTGTCTATTCTTCACGAATGCCTGAGTAGTTTGGTAGTCTGTCAGCTAGGTCACAGGTTCAAGCAGAATTGCTGGACGTCCGAAGACTCCCCAACAAGCGACGCCCAGCAACGACTCCTTCATCGTCAACAACATCCAAAGAACATCGAAGAGAACCTTTACTTGCCGACATCGCGGTGACGGTGGCCGCAGTCGTGTGCGCTGTCATTGCACACCTACTCCGGCTTTTCTTTTTCATAAAGGTATTATAATCAATCTAGACACACTTCCGACGCATTTCGGCCGCGCTGAAAAGCGTATTTGTAAGCCATATATATACACAGTAACGAGTTGTATGGTGTTTACTGGGTCAGCATGCGCTATCTGTAAAAGTAAAAGTTACCACAAAAGTAATATATAAAAGTATGGCTAATATCTTTCGGTTCGGCTATATTCAGTTCTATGTTCCCGGCTCCTCCCGAAAGCTGGCAATCGTACAGGTGCACAATGACACGGGGTTGAAAGAGGATACAGAAAAATGAGTGCTACTAGAGTGGACAGTCTATCCACAGGAATGTGACGCAGAAACGTTACCATACTTAACCACATAAACATCCGGCTGATACTCCAATGTCACGAGCAATGGTAAAGTGTCTAAGGTTTCACAGACGGCTGGCGATTGTATTTTTTTTCGATTACCTTGGCTGTTTTACTTCTGGCGTTAAGGTATTCATCCTCCCGACGGCAGCCCTACATCGTGTTCATACTTCCTGACGATTTGGTGAGTAGCGCACTGCGTATTCAGCGTAAAATGTCAAATCGTTTCTCTAAAATGGTGCAACTTTGTTTCCTGCAGAGCACTCGATGTGAAACACCGTGGGCCCAGGTAATGTTCTGACTTCAGAGAGGTCTGCCGATATCATTATTTTATACAATAATTTTAAGCTGTGAGTGGTCCTACCAGCTTGATGTGCATGGTCTTGAAAATCAATGCCACAAATTGAATACAAAATGTTCGATCTATAATATTTACGTATTTCAACTACTTTCATTAGATCTGCTGCCGCTCCTTGTACCTCTTCCGTGTATATACCAATTCTTCGAAGAGCGGATATACGGATGCGAGCAACGCAAGCGGTCCCCAGTGGTGTCGAAACTACTGCGAACAGGATGTGTACTATTAGCAAATGCTTCTTTTTTTGTGCCGTTTGGTTTTATTTTGCGGATTTATCCTGTAACCTGGCGATCGTACAGCTGCGTGCAGACGTGGTGTAAAAACATGATACAGATCACCAAGTCCTACATGGCTCGACAGTCTAGCCATAGAAATACGGAGTAGAAACTTCACCACTTGGTAGTTGACAAGATACAAGCCTGGTACTCCGATGTCGGAAGCGATGGTTAGGCGTCGAACTTCCCACAAGCCGCTGGCAGCGGCCACTGGTCCGGACAAGGAGGACGGCATGGTTCCGCAGCGCTTCAGCCTGGTGAACATCGCTGCGATTGGAGTGGCGATCCTCCTGTGCTTTGCCTTGGCTGCTATGCTCCTGGCATCCAGACGTTCACCCCTCCGACAGCCCCACATCGTGTTCATACTTGCTGACGATATGGTGAGAAGATTTGGCGATTTGGTGTGAAACTTTGCTGGTTTTACGGGAAACTGTTCGTGCTAAATTTAGCGGGAATTTTGTGTCACGTGGGGTCATGATGCCACGAGACGTCAGATTGTCAGATCACGTCATAGCGTCACGTGCCGTCATAGTGTCGTATGAACACCGTCTGCTGAATTTAGCTAAATGTAAGCTCGCTAAATTTAAAGACGGCAGAGTAACTGAGTGAAGCAGTGTTCAACGTCTCGGCTGTCGGCGCCGTTCATTTACAAAACTCGGCAAGGAACTGGTAACGTATTAGCATATGTAGCCATATTTAGCACTAGAAAGAGCCCGAGCTCGTTTTGTTTTTTCGTGCAGGGACAGGGGCTCTATCAAAATATTGACGTATTTAGGGTTTTACTGCGTTTTTAGGCACTGAAATCATTCGTACTTTGTAAATCACTCTTCGTGATTCGTTATTCGCGGTTCTTTCCGACTAATGTAGCAATCTTATTGGCTGAGAAACGGTAATGAGCAGAACTGGGCAATTAGTCGATTAACCCACCGATTAAGCAACTAATGCTTTAAATGCCCTTAATTTTTTTTTTTTTTTACCGGTGAATCTGTAAAGTTTTGATGTACCAAATGAAAGTAAAAATCAAACGCGTTCACCACGCAGACGTGGACGAGAGCACCTGTGTGAAGGGCAATTTTTAAGTGAAATGTTAACCTAAAGTAAAACTCCAGAGGCAAGATTTGTACTCCAGAGAAGTGCGGAAGTTATCCTGGCCACTTGGACGTCATGCGAGTGACCGTTTAGCGCAAGAGAGCCTATTGCGAACAATGAAAGGGGGCCGCTTTTGTCGGAGAATATCAACGAACCACTTTGCCTCGCGCAGCTGAAGTAATATCTTGTAAGTGTGAGTGTCTTTGAACTGTTCTCAACCACCCATTGAGCTTGATTCTTAATCAAAATTTTATAGTGCGCCGTTTATCGCATCCCCCACCACGTGCAATAAGAGGCTGAAGACTCGCCATAGCCTGTGTTTCTCAGGCTCTGAGAAACCCCGGACCAGAAATCACAGGTTGTCTCATAAATCTTTGAATGGTCCAAGCAGTCATAAAATCTAATTGGTAAGAAAGGAATTTTTTTTTTTTTTTTTTTTTAGCTGCTGCTAATGGATATGTATTTCGATAGCATTTGGGATCCTTTGAAATTTTTCAAACGGCCGTCGAGCTCAGCGCTCCCGGTCTGCCCAAACATGGCCTCTACAACCTAGAGGACTAGGCCAACAAATTACGTCATTTTCGTGATTTTCCGACCCATCCGAAGCGGCGAACTCGCCTAAGGTCGACGACAGTAAAGCGGCAGACGTGTCCGTCTTTACGACGCCGCTTGATATCGTCGCGCGTGCCGCGATACTCTGCGAGACGCGCTGGCAGCGGCGCTGACGCAAGCTAGGCGGCGCTGGGTGGACCCCCTAGGCGGAGCGAAAGTTCGTCTGCTACTTTTGCAGGGATTTGGGTGACGTCAGAACGCTGAGCTCTGATTGGTCTGATGGTAGGATAGTGGGTAGACCTCAAGGCAGCTTACTTTGAGGTCCACCCACTATTCTTCATCAGACCCAAACAGAACTTGGCATTCCGACGTCACCACAACTCGTGCAAAAGTAGCAGACGAGCTTGTGCTTCGCATTGAGAAGACATTTGGGGAGGAAAAACAGAGGCCTTGTATTCTATAGGTGGTATTCGCGTGACAAAGGTTTTCATCTCCAATTCTTTCCAAATTAAATTGACGTGGGGTGGGATTATACACCAGTTAAGGTTTTTACCGCTATAGTGAGTGGGGATTGAAGTGGCGCATATAATTATGCTTCAAATATTATTTTCCACTTAAATTTATTTAACGAACGGCAAAGGACGGGCGCACGCAACCTTGGGTTTTTGGTGGCCTTCGAATGGCTAAAACACACAAAAAGAACCTAAGTGAATTTTAAGCAGTTATTGGGACGACGAGGAAAACAGGCCGAACAATCATGCGATACAACCCTGTTTCCGTTCCTACATTTTTTTTTGTTGTCGATTGTGTTTCTTAAACAATAAAAACAGACCTTTGTGTTCAGCCTTCAATAATAGTTTCTTTGTTTTCACCTAGGGATGGAACGACGTGAGTTACAACGGCTGCCCGCAGATCAGGACCCCGAACATCGACGCGCTGGCCTGGAACGGCATCCGCCTACAGCGCTACTACACGCAGCCCTTGTGCACGCCTTCGCGGGCGGCTCTCATGACCGGACGATATCCGATTCACACAGGTCGGTGCGGAGGTTTAGGCAAAAAAAATTAACGCAACATTACACTGCATAGGAAAGCTTCAGTGTCCAGTTTACCGCAGAACATTTGGGAGAGCCTATGGCTGCTATCTAGGAGTAAGCTCGGGGAACGGCCAGTTTACATACAGGGTATGATTTTTAATGGGAACAAAATAAAAAAAGGAGTTCAAACTCCTCTTTAATTATCCTTTTAATTAGTGAATGTAAACATATAGTTTCAGTTAGAAACTTGCTCAGCATAACCTAAAACACCATATCAGCTAATTTTAGAAGGACAAGAAGCACGTGAGAAACGCGGAGCTGCGTCCAAGTCAGCAGTCGTGCAACAGGCGCAAAGCTAGCGGAGCGGAAACGCAGATGATACGATTATCGTACGCCTTTCCCCGCCATTGTAGCTTCACGCCTGCTGTACGAGTGGTAATTTTGGTGCACGCGTTTCTTAAAATTGATTTAGTGGTTTTCGATTATGCTCAACAAGTTTCTAACTGAAGCCACGTTTATTTTCACTAGTTGAAAAGTGAATTACTTTTAGTTAATTATCGGAATTAACGCAAAGATTAGAACTCTATATATTCTCCCCCTGGCCGTATAACTCACCTGTAGAAACCGCATT